AAAGTATTCCTCTTATTTACAATTCAGCTGTGTGTTTCTGATTGTCTCACTGGCTGGTCATAACAGTAGCACTCCAGTTAGTCATTTGCTTCAGGGAGTCTCAACCTCATGACTTCTTCCACCCTACAGCCCTGTCTGGATACAATTCTCTTACCGCGGACCCAACTGAATCTCACAAAACTGACTTAAAAAACTTCCCACTAACCCTGGCCCGTATAACTCAGTGGTTAGAGGGTGGGCCCATGACCAAAGAGTTTCGGGTTCGATTCCAGTCACGGGCACGTACCTCAGGTTCAAACCCCGGCTCTGGTTGGGGTTGTGCGGGAGTCAGTCCATGTGTCTTTCTCATGTTGTTTCTCTCTCTCCCCCTCTGACTCTATCTGAAGTTAAATGGAAAAGTATCCTCAGGTGAGGATTTAAAAAAATTAAAAATAAACATCCCTCACCCTGGCTGGTTTGTCTCAGTGGTTGGAGCATCAGCATGTGGACCAGAGAGTCCCGAGTTTGGTTTCTGCTAGGGGCATATACCAAAAACACACACACAAAAAAACAAACAGCCCTGGCCGGTTTGGCTCAGCGGTTAGAGCGTCGGCCTGCGGTCCGGAGAGACCCGGGTTCGGTTCCCACTAAGGGCACGTACTTCGGTTGCAGTTTGTCCCCGACCCTGGTTGGTCGTGCGGTGGCAGCCACTCGATTTGTCCCTTTCACATCGATGTTTCTCTCTCTCTATCTCTTCCTCTCTCTCCCTCCCACTCTATCTGTACAAAAAATGGAAAAATGTCCTCAGGTGAGGATAAAACAAACAAACAAACAAACAAACAAAAAACTTTCCCTCTACACATACTTAAAAAACAAGAAAGTACCAATAGCTGGTTTGGCTCAGCAGTCAGAGCGTTGGCCTGTGATCCAGAGAGACCCGGGGTTCAGTTCCCGCTAAGGGCACGTTTGTCCCCGGCCCTGGCTGGGTCGTGTGGGTGGCAGCCACTGGAAGTGTACCCTTCACGTGGATGTTTTTCTCTCCCTCCCTCCCTCCCGCTCTATCTGAACAAAAAATGAAAAAAATGTCCTCAGATGAGGATAAAAAACAACAACAAGGAAGTAGAAGAGGCCCCAATGACATTTCACATAGGCTACCAATTTTGCTCTGTAGCTTTGGGTAACATCCGAGAACACGTCTCTAAGTACTCGTCCTTCCTTGGAGATTACCCCACAGAGCCTCGAAGGCTCCCGGCGGCGAGGCACCATTTCCCAGCGGCCTCTGGGGCACCAGCAGCTCTAGGTACCAGAGGTGTCAGTTCCCGCCCGCAGCTCTGGGCCGACTACACTACCCAGAAACTTCCGCGCCGCGCAGGACGTTTCCGCACGTGCGGACGACGCGTGGGCGGGACTTCCGGAGTCTTTCTCGCGGCGGACATCTTGTCGACGCTGCGAGCGCCCAGTGCGCCGGTTCGTGAGCTCCGGCTCGGCCCCGTGGTCACAGCAGCGGGCAGGCGCCCGTCCCCACTAAGAGGAGGCTCGGCGGCGGCAGCGTCCGCGAGGCCCCGCGTTCGGACCCGCGATCCTCACGGCCCCGCGCGGCCCGGACAGGGATGGCGACGGCCGCAGGGATGAGCCCGGCTTGGTAGTTGCTGTGCCGCGGCCCGACCCTCACCTCCGAATCTGGAAACCCCGGAGCGAGCTGTGGCTGCTGAAGTCACCCCAGCCCAGGCCCCTGGGCCGTTGTGGGTGGAGCCCCCATTTCCAGCTGCCAGGGTGACGAGTCGTGGGAGGAGCGACTGAGCCGCGAGCGGTGGGGAGACTCGGGGCCCAGAATCGGCGAGGAGCTGCCCGTGAGCACTGGTCATGGCGGAGTGACAGGGTGAGGCGGGTACGTGCACTGCGAGGACAGGCATCCTCGGGAGAACGGACCGGGCTGAGGTAGGGGTGACGAGGAGGCAACAGACCCCAGGAGTGTGGTGGTGGCGGTCGTCCCGGAGCAGGGGCAGGAGGGCCTGAGGGGTGGGTAAGTCATTACAAGCAGCGGGGTTTGCTGCTGGGTCAGATATGGCTGTGAGAGTAGGGAATGAAGGGCCCTCCGAAGTTTTCCTTAAAAGAAAACAAAAAAACAAAAAAAAGAACAAATTTGAAAAACGTATAGATTGGCTTTAGGGAGGGGAGAGAGAGGGACAGCGATATATCGATTTGTTGCTCCACTCATGTGTTCCTTGGTTGATTCTTTTTTTTTTTTTATTAAATTTTTTCCCTTTATTGATTTTAGAGAGGAAGTGAAAAGGAGAGAGAGATAGAAACATCAATGAGAGGGAACATAGATTGGCTGCCTCCTGCATGCCCCCCACGGGGGGTCGGGCCCACAATCTGGGCATGTGTCCTGTCTGGGAATCGAACCGGCAACCCCTCCATGTGTGGGTTGATGCTCAACCAGTGAGCCATACCAGCCGGACCCTTGTGTTGATTCTTGTGCATGTCCTGATGGGAGATCAGACCCTCAACCTCGTCGTATCCAGACAATGCTCTTAACTAACAACTACCTGGCCAGGGCCTCAAGTTTTTTTTTGTTGTTTGTTTTTCTGCTGAACATCTGAAAGAATGGAATTGTGTAAGTTGGAGCAAGGAGCACCTTTTAGGGCGATCAGGACTTAGATTTGGGACGTGGTAAGTCTGAGATGTTGCACAGTGGAGGTGTCACGTGGGCATGTGGATATGCAGGTTTACACTTCTGCAGAGAGAGCTCTGCGGGCACCCTCTGAGGGATGAGTACTCAGGTTAAACCCTGGAGATCAGATTTAGGGGAAGAATATTAAGGATGTTATTTTATATGGCTCCTGAGGTGAGAGATTGGAGGGCAGGGGAGAACCGGTGAATATCCTAGAGATTTCTTCCAGAAAGGAGGGGGGTCCTGGCATATGAAAGGGATCTGGCTGATAAAAGCAGGAGAGGACTGTAGGTTATTAGCAGCCTATAAGAAGGAGAGCAAGGCATGAGATGCTATAGATTTGACATTGTGTGGACTCATCATGCCACAGACTCTGGCTGTGGAGCAAAGGAAAAGTCAGCCAGGCCAGTGAAGCAGCCCTAGCCTAGTCCAAGGTCTATTACATTAGTTCCCCAATTCCTCGGGAGAGGAGGGATGATAAACATCTCTAATGAAGGGCCACTAGCAGGCTAACCTTTAGAAGAGTATATACCAGGTAAGCTGGTTTGGTGAAAGGACTAGTGTACATCTGGCAAGTATATATAAGCAGGCAGTTAAAAAAGAATACGTAGATAGGTTAAATCAGATTTATACCCATGCTTAGTAATTGATTGACACTCTTTTATTACAATGGAAACTCTGAAATAATCACATTTTCTTAAGAGATAAAAGTCAAACCTAGAATTTCAAAAATCGTATTGCTTTATTTGCACCAAAAACATTTGCAAAGTGTTAAGCTTGTGAACAGTAAAGCTAATTCAAAGGTTCTTGACCTGCCCTGGCTGGTTTGTCTCAGTGGTTAGAGCATCAGCCTGCAGACTGAAGGGTCTCGGGTTCGATTTCTGGTCAAGGGCACATACTTAGGTTGTGGGTTTGATCCCCAGCCCTGGTTGGGGTTGTGCAGGAGACACCCAATTGACATGTCTTTCTCACATCAGTGTTTCTCTTTCTCACTCCCTTCCACTAAGGGGGTTCTTGACCTATTCTAACATGCCTGATCTAAATAGCAGCTCTGTTAGGTGGGTACCATTATTATCACCGCTTTACAGATGGCGCTGAGACACAGATCTTTGTTCAAGGTCACACAGATGGTAGGAGGCAACACTAAAGTGAGTATGAGGTCAGACAACCTCAAATCATCTTCACCAAAGGACAGGGCTGAAGTTAGGGAAACAGTCAGTCCATGAGACACCACTGTGATAACCTACCACTCCCAGCTTCCTCTTCCTCCAAGTTGCTGTGGCAGTAAGACTACTTGTGATCCCTGCATAGTTCACTGAAGAGTATGCAGGTCTTCATTCAGCCCACCCCCACACCTAAATTTGGCAACCCAGTGTGGTGAATGGTGTCTCTGACTCTTAACCTACCTTCTGTCTGTCATTGAGTTTGGGGATCCCCGTGTCACCAAAGGTCTTGTGACCTGATTTCTGTTCTTGAATTATATGAAAGGTTTTTCATTTCCAGCAAGAAGTGGGATGAAGTTGAACAGTGTTCCAGGAACCAGCATTTGCAAATGCATCACTTGAGTTTGCACTGGGAGTGTTCTAGAAACCTCAGGTCTCTATTATGTCTGGTGTGATCAGAGAGCAAAGAATAGGATTCAACTTTGGAACAACAGCCTGTGAAACTGGACTTCTGTTCTGAGAGTGGTTGGAGCCATGGAAGGTTTGAAGCAGAGGAGGGAGTGATTTTTCTGATGTGAACGGTGAGAGAAAGAAGGGAGGAGTTAGAGATGACCTCATAGTTTTTGACCTGACAAAGTGTAAGGATAGAAAAATCCTCAGTTGATGCCCTGGCCAGTTTGGCTCAGTGGTTAGAGTGTCTCTTGGACTGAAGGGTTGAGGGTTCAATTCCTAGTCAAGGGCAGTACCTGGGTTGCAGGTTCAATCCCCAGCCCTGGTTGGAGTCATGCAGGAGGCATCCAAACTGTGTGTCTCACATCAGTGTTTCTCTCTCTCTCCCTCCTCCCTCTCTTCCACTCTGCCTAAAAATTAATGGAAAAATATCCTCAGGTGAGGATTAACAACAACAAAATTCTCAGTTGAGGGGGTGAAGTTGGTGGAAGTAATATCAACGATTTAGGTTTTGACCATATTGAATCTGTGATGTTCCAGACATGAGTGGAGTTGTCAGATGAACAGCTGGACACACAGGTTTTTAGTTCAGAAGAGGGATTCAAGTTGGAGACATCCAGAGGAAGAGCGGACATGAGATGAATGCTTGGGTGTAGTAGTAATAGAGATGAGATGAAAGGGAGGTCAGAGCTGATGCTTATTTCCTCTCTCTGCTTCCCAGGCTTTTCTGGTGATGTGTATATGGAGATGGAATATTAATTTATGTTCCGAGGGCTCTGGTACTGAGGGATTTAAGGAGAAAGTTCAAATTTGTGTATGAGAAGCATCATCTCTGAATCCAGGGAAGGGTTGGGCCCTGCATTCCAAGCCAAGACTATACAATGTCTGTCTGTCTGTCTGTCCAACTGCCTGTTCTAGGCTGGACAAAATGATTCATGGAAAATGAGGAAAGAGCAGGCATTGATCACACAAGGGCCAGGTATCCTGTCTGACTGGGGCAGCTGAGGGGGAGTCCCCTGGAGAGAGAGGCTGTCCTGTGCTTAGTTGTCTTCATGCAGGGTCATGTGACTTTTGAAGATGTTTGTTTTTCTCCTGAGAGGCTTCGAGACTACTTGATAAGGCTCAAAAACTCTCTGTGCTTTGCCATTATGGTCATCCTGGTCCCATGTGTTCCAGTTTTCTGGTCTGTGCTCTGCTCAAGAATTCCTTTTTCCCACAGAGGTTGCCATTTCCTTCTCATAGGTGGACCATGGGCACTGCTGTTTTTCCTTGTTACCTCACAAAGGACCTCAGGGCTCGGCTGTGTGTCCTGTCTCCTTCACTCCCTATGCTTTCCAGCCCCTGCTGCCTCAAACCCTTGCCAGGAAGGGTGTCAAGGTCAAGTGTTTTGTGGTCAGTCCAGTAGATACTACCCTGCTTGGCTTCTCCTGGGCTAGATTGCACTGTTCACATTCATGAGACCTCTGTGCTCCAGATTCTGCCCCATTCCTTTACTTGGGCCAACTTGGGTCATGAATTATAGTCATGGTCAACGCCTGGGGGACCCATTGCATTGTTCCTGCAAGACATTACTCTTATAGGTGGGCTGCCCTGTGTGTGTCAGTGCTCTCTCACTCACTGGCTCTCTTTCTTCTGTGAAATCTATCTTCCAGATCCTCTTTGGTTGCTGAATTGTAGCAGGGGAAAGAACTCAGAGTACCTGACTGAGAGGTCATGACTCTAGCCATGGCAGGAGGGGCTTGGACGGGCCCTGGTAAGTGAGAGTATGGGGAATGTGTGACTTCAGGGTTGGGTTCAAGTAATACCAGAAACTTGTCCTATGCCTCCTACTGTTTGGTACCCAGGCTATAGGCCATACCTTATTACTATTTTTCTTCCCTATTCTGGACACTTTGTACACTCGTCATTTCTATTCTGATCTCTGACCCAAGGTTGTCCATCCCTCTCACTGGTGTTCTCTACTGCTTCCTCTGCAGTGATCTCCCATATTGGATGATGCTAATGTATCAGAGACAAACACATATCCTTAAGTGTTTCTTCAGTACCAGTTATTAATTTTAAGTCAGTTTTTCCTGGGCCTGGACATACATTTCTGTGTAGCACTCACCTTTTACAACTGCCAAGGCCCTTTTAAAAGTAATTCTCAAGAGCCCTGGCCAGTTTGGCTCAGCAGTAGAACATCAGCCTGCGGACCAATGACTCATAGGTTCGATTCCAGCCAAGGTCATGTGTCCTGGTTGCAGGTTGTCCCCAGCCCTGGTTGGGGTTGTGCAGGAGGCAGCCAGTCGATGTGTCTCTCCCACATTGATGTCTGTCTGTCTGTCTGTCTGTCTGTCTGTCTCTCTCTCTCTCTCTGCCCCCACCCCTCTCTTTCTTCCACTCTATCTGAAGATAAATAGAAAAATATCCTCGGGTGAGGGTTAAATAAATAAATAAATAATTGGCCAAAAATGGTAATTTGTATCCTGGCCAGTTTTCCTCAGTGGTTAGAGTGTCAGCCTGCAGACCAGAGGGTCATGGGTTTGATTTCTGGTCAAAGGCATGTACTTTGTTTGTAGATTCAATCCCTGGCCCCAGTCAGGGTTGTGCAGGAGGCAACCATTTGATGTGTCTCTCTCATATTGGGGTGTGTGTGTGTGTGTGTGTGTGTGTGTGTGTGTGTGTCTTCTTTCCCCATTCCCACTGTATTTAAAAGTCAATGGAAAAATATCCTTTGGATTAAAAACATATTAATAGTAAATGAAATAAAATAAAAGTACTTTGCAAAGAGAAAGTTGGTGATCCTACCTATTTCTTCTCTGTAAGCTACAGCCCAGCCTTGTATTTTCTCCTTCCTGAGGCCTTTCCCATTCTGTGACTCTTAGAGCCTAGTAATACATAGCAGCTCTTTCTTTAACCTGAACCCAAGTGTTTAATCCTGCCAGCCACTTCATGGATTCAATCCTGGTTATGCTAAACACACTTTTGTGATGGTATTGCCCCCTCTCACCAAAATCAGCGTGCACTTCAACAGTGTTTTTCTGCTTTCAGGGTGTTGGCTTGGAGTGAAGGATGAAGAGGCCTCTTCTGAGCAGACCATATCTGTGGAAATGTCACATGTTCGTCCTTCCAGGGCAGGTTCATCTACCCAGATAGCCCACCCTTGTGACATATGTGGCCCCATCTTGAAAGATATTTTGCACCTGGATGACCATCAGGAAATACACCACAGACTGAAACCTTACACATGTGAGGCATGTGGGAAACAATTCTCATTCTGTGCAAACTTTTACCAGCACCAGAAGCAGTATAATGTAGAGAAACCCTTAAGGAGAGACAAAGGCAAGACCTCATTTGTGAAGAACTGCAGAGTTTGTGAAGAACCTCATCTGACAGAGAAGCCCTTTCCGTGTGAGGAGGAACAGAAGAACTTCCAGGCATGTTTGGACAGTCGCCAACAAAAGGCCACCCACAGCAAGAGGAAGACAAGGAGCACTGAAAGTAGGGAGACCTTTTACATTGGACAGATGCATTATAGTTGCAGCGAGTGTGGGAAAGCCTTCAACCGCAAAGACACACTTGTTCAGCATCAGAGAATCCACACTGGAGAAAAGCCTTATGACTGCAGTGAATGTGGGAAAGCTTTCAGCCGCAAAGCCACACTTGTTCAGCACCAGAGAATCCACACTGGAGAAAGGCCTTATGAATGCAGTGAATGTGGGAAGTCCTTTAGTCGCAAAGACAACCTAACACAGCACAAAAGAATTCACACTGGAGAAATGCCTTATAAGTGTGATGAATGTGGAAAATACTTTAGCCATCACTCCAATTTAATTGTACACCAGAGAGTTCACAATGGAGCAAGGCCTTATAAGTGCAGTGATTGTGGGAAAGTCTTCAGACACAAATCCACACTTGTTCAGCATGAGAGCATCCATACTGGAGAAAATCCTTATGTTTGCAGTGATTGTGGGAAATCCTTTGGCCACAAATACACTCTCATTAAACACCAGAGAATTCACACTGACACAAGGCCTTTTGAGTGCATTGAATGTGGGAAATTCTTTAGTCGAAGCTCTGACTTTATTGCACACCAGAGAGTTCACACAGGTGAAAGGCCTTTTGTGTGCAGCAAATGTGGGAAAGATTTCATAAGAACCTCCCACCTTGTTCGGCACCAAAAAGTTCACACAGGGGAAAGGCCATATGAGTGTAATGAATGTGGGAAAGCCTATAGCTTAAGCTCCCACCTCATTCGGCACCAGAAAGTTCACACTGCAGGAAGGCTTTAGGAGTGCTTTCAACACAGCAGGACCCATATGGAGAGCAGCCCTGATTTCCCTTTGAGAGGAAGATACCAATCAGATGTTGAACATGTATCAAAATGAACACTGGGGAGAAGCTCTCAGGGGCTGTAGTGCACTTTCACATCTGTTCAGGGCCCTTGCCAAATGTCTCAGTGTCAGTATCTGGCTGAAAATATCTCAACTAGACCATCTTAGTTACCCTAATATCCTCAGAGAAGGCAGAACTTTGTACTCTCCAACTCCTGAGGAAATTATAATATATCTGAGTTAAATTGGGGGAGGTAGGGACTCATTCCCTCCTCAGTGATTGGTAAAGATGTGGACATGACCCAACATTAGCTACCTGTTCTGGTAGCAGGAAAGCTTTCCTCATGGACATTGTTGGTCTTGTGATAGTTTTGTTTTTTAAAAATGATTTTTATTGATTTGAGAGAGAGAGAGAAACATCCATCAGCTGCTTCCTGCATGCCCCCCAACTGGGGATTGAACCCACAACCCAGGCATGTGCACTGATGGAAATTCAAACCTGCGACCTTTTGTTGCATGGGATGACTCACAACCAATGAACCATACCGGCCAGGGCCTCATGTAATAGTTTTCACAGATTTTTCCAGCCTTCCAAGTCACCTATCCTAGAGAACTACATGCCTTATGTTGCTCTGGTTTGTGTAATAATAAAGACTATAAATTAAACCACCTTTAAACTTGGAGGTTGTTTTTACTATCTGGAATGATTTGAAAACAGAACTCCCAAACTAAATAGGTGTAGAGTTTGTGGTGGCATCCAATTTTGCATGTCTCTGGTGGCATCCAATTTTGCATGCCTCAGATGGAATAGCAGATTGCCAGAGAACAGTTCTCAGTCCACCTTTGGTGTTAATTTCCAGTCCTGAGAAACACTTTTGTTGTTGTTGTTGTTTTTTAATTAAGAAATACAAAATTTAAAAAGAATGCATCAGAAATTTTATAAAGGCAAAGTAAAGCAGTTATAACAATAAAAATGAAAATCAATTATCCAAGTCCTAAAATTAGTGAACAAGGAAAAGAATAAGAAAATTGGTAACATTTTTTAAATGAATAAAAGAACAGTAGAATTAAGTATAAAATATAGTACTTTGGAAAAAAACAAAAACACTAAAAGGAGAAAGCCCATGGACACACAATAGAGTGGTGAAGGCCTGAGATGGAGCCAGGAACTGGGTGGTGGGAAGAAGAGAGGAGGAGGGCATCTATAATACTCTCAAGGATAAAAATTTTTTTTAAAGGAAGAAAGTACAAATATGTGTAATTAGAATTAACAATAGCTATCAACATAGAAGAATAGCATCTCAGGAATTTCTGCCCCATTCTTTTTTAAAAGAAGACTTTTTTACTCAAAATTAGGCTATTCACAATTTAGATCTATGAAGAAAACTGACATAAAGAACTTGAATACTAAGCTGCTTAGAGAATCATTAGCTAGAATATGAGGTTTATCAGAGGGTAGTGTTGCCTGCTCTTTTAACTTTGAAAGTACTTTTCTGTCAGCAGCCTCATCAGCATGATTCTGACTTGCTCTCAAGAGTGCCTTCTCTTTTGTAAAAGAAACCCTTGAGCCCCGGCTGGTTTGGCTCTGTGGTTCTCAACCTTCCTAGTGCTGCGACCCTTTATTACAGTTCCTCACGTTGTATGGGGGCGAATCTACATGTGGGTGGACCCGCCTGGAGACCGATAGAGGAGCGGTGTCTCAGTTCCTAAGACCATGGGAAATGTGTTTTCCCATGGTCTTAGGCAACCCCTGTGAAAGGGTCGTGACCCACAGATTGAGAACTGCTGGCATTAGAGCGTTGGCCCACAGACCAGAGAGTCCTGGGTTGAGTTCCCGCTAAGGGCATGTATCTCAGTTGCGGTTTGTCCCTGGCCCTGCTTGGGGTCGTGTGGGTGGCAGCCAGTTGACGTATCTCTCTCACATCGATGTTTCTCTATCTTCCTCCGTCTCTCCCTCCCTCTCTATGTGAAGATAAATATAAAAATGTCCTCGAGTGAGGATTAAAAAAAAAACCCAGTTGATTCTATTTGAAGTACACATAAAAGTTTCATTTTTGTTCAGTGCTCTTTATACTGTGATTTCTGAGGAACTGAAGCCCCAGAAAGTAAGCACAGCAAAAACTTGTTAAATGTTTGTTTTTCAAATACAAACAGATAGAGTGGGAAGGAGGGGGAGAGAGAGAGAAACATCAGTGTGAGGGAGACATTGATAGGTTACCTCCCACATGATCACAACCAGGACTGGGGATCAAACGTGTAATCCAGGTACATGCCCTTGATCAGGAATTGAATCCACAACCCTTTGGTCCACTGCTGAGGCAAACCAGCCAGGGCTGTTTCTTGATATTTTTTTAAATTAAATTTTTGTTTTTGTCTTTTTTTTTTTTTTTATCCTCACCCGAGGACATTTTTCCATTTTTTGTACGGATAGAGTGGGAGGGAGAGAGGGGAAGGGAGAGAGAGAGAGAGAAACATCGATGTGAAGGGACACATCGAGTGGCTGCCACCCGCACGACCAACCAGGGCCGGGGACAAACTGCAACCGAGGTACATGCCCTTAGCGGAAACCGAACCTAGGTCTCTCCGGACTGCAGGCCGACGCTCTAACCGCTGAGCCAAACTGGCCAGGGCTAAATTTTTGTTTTTGGTTAATCCTCACTCAAGGATACTTTTTCCATTGATTTTTGGAGAGTGGAAGGGAGAAAGAAAAACAGCTTGAGAGAGACAAACTGATTGGTTGCCTCCCACAGGCCTTAGCAGCAGGGGCAGGGATCAAACCCAAGACCTTTTGCTGTGTGGGCTGATGCTCTAACCACTTAATCACACTAGCTAGGTGATATCTCATTGTGGTTTTAATTTACATGAGCAAAGCTTTGTAGGTGAGAATTCAGGGCTTTGTGGGGCTGATTTTGTATTTCAGAATGATTTGAGGGCCCAGGCATTGCTTTGAGGAGGGTGTTGTTATAACAACCTACAATGTGTTTGGGAGCAGTATGGATTGAATGTCTTGTTACTAGCATATGTCCCATATTCCTCAACACTACTGGCTAAAAGCTGTTCCTTAGAACCAGAGAAGTGCCTTATGCCCTGAAGGCCAGAATCTGGTATACAAGTCACTGGCTGTAAAACCTGATGTCTCCAAGGAGACAAAATTGATACAGAAGCTTTGGGTGTGAATAATTGGGGTTGGAGAGACCACAGCAAAGGAGAATGGTTGTGACCTTTGTAAAAATATCTGTAAACATTCCAGTTTGTATGGCTGCATGAGATCTGGGTGTATGGGAATTCTTAGGATCTCCAGGGTTGTCATTCATATTACCAAGGTCAGCAGCACAGCAAGGAATGTAAAGTTTTCCTCAAGTCCTGTGCCTCCCTGGTCTCTTTACCTGATGCCTCTGCTGCATGAGCAGGAACCCTGAGACTGAGAGGTCAGAGAGATTGTGGTCCAAGGATACAGACTCTGTGACCAGCCAGAGTTCCTGGTAACTCACTGTGAAACAGCCTTCATTTCTAGCCAGTTTTTCTTGCTACTGAGGAAGATGTTCTGGTCACAAGGTATTTGGAGTGAGATGTCAGAGCTACTATATTGATGCTTAGTAGGAGTGAGGTACTAGACTTTTAGGTGGAATGATTTTTTTTAGTTGATTTGAGAGAATATGCATTCCTCGATTTGTTCTTGTGCACTGACTGGGAGTTAAACAGCAAACTTTTGGTGATCCGGATAACGCCCAACCAATTGAGTCATGTCAGCCAGGGCATTTAAAAAATATTAACCTGGTAAAAAATTGATACTGACTGGTACTTTTACATTGAACATTGTCTTTATTTATTTAAAATATGTTTTTATTGAAAAAAAATTTTTTTTAGAGGGAGAAGAAGGGAGAGAAACATTGATGTGAGAGAGAAACATTGATCAGCTGCCTCCTGCACATCCCTACTGGGAATTGAACCCAGAACTTGGGCATGTGCCCTGACCAATAATCAAACCTGGACTTCTCAATACATGGGATGATGCTTTATCCACTGAGCCACACTGGCCAGGCTGCTGCTGTTTTATTTTTTTGTTAATTTTTTTCCTTATTGATTTTACAGAGAGATATGTTAATCAGAGAGAGAACATCTACTGGCCGCCTCCTGCATGCCCCCCACTGGAGATTTGGCCCACGACCTGGGCATTTGCCCTGACCAGGAATTGAACTGAACCGGCAACCTCTTGGTACATGGGTTGATGCTCAACCACTGAACCACACTGGCCTTCCTGCTGCTGTTTTATTTTTTTTAAAACATCTTGCCTTTTTACTCTCTCTTTTTTTTTTTTTTATCCTCACCCGAGGGTATTTTTCCATTTTTTGTACAGACAGAGTGGGAGGAAGAGAGAGGAAGGGAGAGAGAGAGAGAAAAATCGACATGAAGGGACACAATCGAGTGGCTGCTACCCGCTCACTTACCAACCAGGGCGGGACAAACTGCAACCGAAGTACGTGCCCTTAGCGGGAACCGAACCCGGGTCTCTCCAGACCGCAGGCCGACGCTCTAACCGCTGAGCCAAACCGGCCAGGGCTGCTGTTTTATTTTTAAAACTTTGTAGAAGCTCGTAACTCAGAAGAGATTTAACAAAAATATTTACTACCTTAATTTACATGTATACTTTTGTTGTTAATTTTCACCTGAGGATATTTTTTCCATTTTATTATCTTATAGAAAAAATGGGAGGGAGGTAGAGAGAGAAACATCAATGTGAGCAAGACACGACTGCTTGCCTCCAGCACACCACCAACTGACCAGGGCCAGGGATCAAACCTGAAATCCAGGTACATGCTCTTGACCAGGAATTGAACCCAAGACCCTTTTGTGTGCTAGCTGATTCTCTAACCACTGAGAACACCTGCCAGGACTGTTTTTTTGTTTTGTTTTGTTTTAATTTTGTTCTTTATTGATTTTAGAGAGAGAGAGGAAGGGAGAGGTAGAAACATCAATGAGAGAGAACATTGATCAGTCGCCTCCTGCATGTCCCACACTGGGGATCAGGCCCATAACCTGGGCATGTGCCTCGAATAGGAATAGAACCAGTGACCTCTTGGTGCATGGGTCAACGTTCAACTACTGAGCCACACTGGCCGGGCACTGTAATTTATTTATTTTTTTATCCTCAAAATATCCTCATTTATTTATTTTGTTCAGACAGAGTGGGAGGGAGAGTGAGGAAGAAAGAGAGAAACATCAAAGCGAAAGGGACACAGCGAGTGGCTACCACCCACATGACCAACGAGGGCAGGGGAAAAACCGCAACCGAGGTACGCGCCTTTAGCAGGAACCAAACCTGGGTCTCTCTGGACTGCAGGCCGATGCTCTAATTGCTGAGCCAAACCAGCCAGGGCTATGTTTTTTAATACACAAATTTTAGTATATATAGATTTTGGGTTTTCAGGGTCAAATTATGGACCTTTGCTTTAATTTAGTACTTTAGTTATTATATATCTTACCTATATCTTATATATACATATATAACATATTGGTTATTTTAAATTTCTCCTGAATCCAGGGTGTTTGTGTGTGTGTGTACATTATCTTTTTTACATCAATAGTGACCTAGGATCAGTATGTTTTCTAAACTGGCCTTTGCTGGTTATGAAAAGAATTAAAGTTCTCTCTCCCGCTCTCTTTCTTTTTATATCCTTGCGCTTGTAGCTGCCTAAAGTCGTAGCCTTTTTCTTTTATTTATTTATAAAAATTTTTTTTCCTTTATTGATTTGAGAGAGAGAGGGAGGCAGGGAGGGGGAGAGAGAGGAGAGGGAGGGAGGGGGAGAGAGAGAGAGAGAGAGAACACGCCCTGGCCGGTTTAGCTCAGCGGTTACAGCGCCGGACTGTGGCCCAGAGAGACCCGGGTTTGGTTCCCGCCAAAGGCATGTACCTTGGGTGCAGTTTGCCCCCGGCCCTGATTGGGTAGTGCAGGTGGCAGTCACACCGGCCTGGATCCAGTCTGTTCTTTGATCCTGACCCGACCCAGTGAAGCAGGTGACGACACATGAGGGGCAGTCAGATGACGTTTGTTGGCTTCCGGGTTCAGGGCGCAGGTGTGGCTGAACGACGCTAGAGTGGTCGCCCACGTGGGTCTGAAGCTCTGGGAGCGGCTGCAATGACATCTTCATCCTCTGGGGGCATCTGAGCGTCCCTGGCGGTTGCTGTTTCCACCCGGAATCACCCGCGGAAGGACGAGCAGGTGCCTCACAGCGCAAGAGAGAAACGCGGGTTCCCAGGCCTCTTGCCTGTGTTCCGAGGCTTCCACGTACCAGCCTCCAAGTCCCATCACTTTGGGAGCAAAGCCTACGTTACCCAGAGGGCGATTCGTCACTTCTGGTTCTGAGTTGATTGGATCTCGGCTCGCAGAGCTCGGGTTGGATCCGGAACCACGGCAGCAGAAGGCGCTTTTCCTGAGAATCTTCTGAGGCACCGCTATCCCGCCCGGGGCTCCACCTCGGCTGAAGTGACAGCGCGCCCCCCAGGCGTCCCCGCCACGCTGCCCGGGCCCGGAGTGCGGACCTAGAGGCCTTCGTGGGTGACACATAGATGAAGGGGGTGGCTGAGGAGCTGCAGTATAAACACGTGCAGGGGCGGCTGAGCCGGGAGGATCCGGAAACCTGGGGTCCATCTTGTGTGCAGGAAATAAAAGTTCCTAACCCTAAAAATAAAAGGTCTTTCAACGTGAACTGCAACAAGCAGTTTTTTTGTTTTTAGGTAAAAAAAAAAAAAAACAGAATAGTTATTCTGGAAACATTGATTCAAGAAGCCCAAATAGTGTTCCAACTGGGAATCAGAAAATGAGTATGTAGGAAGAGGGAGGGGAACACTTTCGTCAAAGAAGGCAGGCATTTCTTTTTTCTTTTTAAATGTTTTTATTGCCTTGTGTCAGAGAGGGAAACCCCAGCATGTGTCCTGATCCTTAATTGAACATGGACCTCAATCCATTGAGCAACACCAGTAGGGTAAGGAAGGCATTGGGTGCAGGTGATATGAGAAAGGGATGTTATCTCTGAATAGTATTTATCTTTTAATTACTCTTCACCTGAGAATATGTTTTCTTAATTCATTTTTTAGAGAGAGGAAGGGACAAATATGGATTGGTTGCCTCCCATACACACCCTGTTAAGACAATCAAACCAGAAACCTGGGTATGCCCGGATAGGATTCAAATACCCTACTTTTCTGTGTATGGGACAATGCCCCAAACAACTGCCTCACACCAGCCTGGGCTCCCCTGCCCTTTTAACTTTGTCCTTCTAACCATGCCAGGAACCAGCCTCAATATGCTTTATTACATGCCTTTTATACCTCACAGCAAAAGTTTAGTGATGTAAGAAAACAGGATCTTGATATAATGTCCAGGGCTACAACAATGCTGTATAGAATTCATTTGCCTTGCGGATAACAGGAGCACCCAGAACACCCAGGAACACCCAGTATGTACATTGGGTCACACTTAGCCCCGAGCTGCACAAACACAATACAGGCGTTGTTCCTTGAGATTATGGGGGAGGTCGAGTCTCTGACTTAAGACCTCCAGGCTCTGTGTATTCTGTCAGACACGTAACCGGCTCCTAACATAAAATTACTCTTAACAGGTCATATTCTACCCTTTGTAATGGCTATTTTCAAATACATCTAAAAATGGAAAAGACTATTAATGTCATCATTTATCATTTCATACTATCCTTTATTTTATTTATCTGTTTATTTATTGGTATGTGCCCCTAGTGGGAACCGAACCCAGGACTCTCTCTCTGGTCCACAGGCCGACGCTCCAACAGCTGAGCCAAACCGGCCAGGGTTATATACTATTCTTGTTTGACCTATCCCCATTACTTATAATCACAGACACCACAACATGTCACACATAAACCTTTCAGAATTTGTTTCTAAAATGTCAGGTCTCTTACACAACTCTATTAACTTTGGAACATAAAATCAAAATATTTAAAATTTGGATAAACTGTTGTAAGTACTAGATTTTCTCAGCTGTATTCACTATTCAACGAAGATTGATAACTGGATGCAAAACTTATCCTTAGGCAATTATTAGCTCTATCTTGGAATTCTTGTAACCTATTATGTACCATGATCAATTTTTCATTCATACTACTTCACAAGCTCACCATTTCCCCATACTACTTGTACACTAGCAATGCTCAACACCATGAAATATCAGGAAAATATAAAACCTGAGTAAGAGACTGCTACACATTTACTAAGTTAAAATTTTAAAAACTAGCCCCTATGCACTATTAAAGGACATGAGAGAACTGGAACCCACATACGCTGCTGGTAGGAATACCAAAAAAAAAAAACCCAATCATTTTACATGACAATTTAGTGTTTCTTAAAGTTAAACATTAACCTACACTCTGACTCGGGTTTACACATCCAGATATTAACACTAGAAAGAAAACATATCAGTATGGACTGTACCCAATTTCTGCAATGGCCAAAAGTGGATACAAAATATCCATAAGCAAATAAATAGTGGTACATCAATTTGACATGCTTCTGAACAATATAAAAATAACGAACTACCCTGGCCAGTTTTGCTCAGTGGTTAGAGCATCAGCCTGTGGTCCAGAGAGACCTGGGTTCGGTTCCCACTAAGGGCAGGTACCTCGGTTGCAGTTTGTCCCCGCTCCGATTGGGGTCCTGTGAGTGGCAAGCAGTCGATGTGTCTTTCTCATATCAATGTGTGTCTCTCTCTTCCCCCTTCTCTCCCTTCTGCTCTATCTAAAGATAAATGCAAAAAATGTCCTCAGGTGAGAATAAAAACCAACCAAACAAAAAAAACAAACAAACAATGAACTTTTCAGATAAGGAGCATTAATGAATCTCAAAATAAACAAGTCACTTGAGGGCACCCAAGGAAAAGACTAAACACTTTATGATTTCAATCATGTAAAATACTAAGAAAAGCAAATCTATGACTGCCTGGAGGACACAGTGATTATTAAAGGGCACAAGGTAAATAAGAGGGTGATGGGAAGGGTTATTATGTTTGATGGTTTCACAGTTTACATGAATGTCAAAACTTACCAAATTACAGTTTAAATGTGGATAGAGCCCTGGCCTGTTTGGCTCTGTGGTTAGAGCATGAGCCTGTGGTCCAGAGACCCAGGTTTGGTTCCCACTAAGGACATGTACCTCACTTGCAGTTTGTCCCTGGCCCTGGTTGGGTCATGCGGGTAGCAGCCACTCAATGGGTCCCTTTCACATCAATGTTTCTCTCTCTCTCTCCCCACTCTATCTGAACAAAGTATGGAAAAGTATCCTCGGGTGAGGATAAAAACTTTTTAAAAATTTAAATAAATAAATGTGGATAGATTATTACATGTCATTTACACCTTAATAAACTTCAAAAATAGGTTTGAATTAAGTCTGGATTTCTTATCCTTTAGAATATCAGGTTCGGCAACTGTACTGACTCCACATTCTCTCTCTTCATGAGGCACATTTGCCTCAGTGGCAGCAAAAATACACGAGCCTTACCCTGGAGGTAGAGTTGAAATGGCTTCTATTACAGAACTGCCAGGGACATAACTCCGGCCTTGGCCCTGGGCAGGTTGAAAAGTGCAATCCAGTTCTCATGTACCAAGAATTTACTTGGATGTTCAGATGTAGGAGGCCCAATACAGGCAACTGACACCTTCATAAGGGATTGCCTCCAGTGGTGGTACACTGAACCAAGAAATAGCATATACCTGCACAGTGAAGACAATACTGTTATTTGAAATCTGTGGTGCCCAGGCCAGTGTGGCTCAGTTGTCACTTGAACAGAGCACCCAGGGATTGACAGTTTGATTCCTGTTCAGGGCATGCTCAGGTTGCAGGGTTGACCCCCACTAGGAGGAGTCCACGTATGTTACATAGGTATTTCTTTCTCTAAGAATCAATAAACTTCTTTAAAAATAATTAAAATGTCCCTAAATCCTTAACCAAAAAATCTGTTGTGTCCAATAAAGTAAATTCTTAGGCTGAAGGCCATGACACATTCACTACAAATATAAGGCCATTCTCTAATTTCCCTGGATATAACAAGGCCAACCTTTGGTAAATGATTTGCCACAATCATAAGGCCTTCACCCAATGTTATACAGTATTTTAGGAGCCTGGAGGTAAAAGTAAATCATTTCTCACATTCCAGTACATAAAAGACCTTTACCCAGTGTGAACTCTTCGGTGTTTAATGAGGCTTGAGTTATGGCTAAAAGATTTCCCACATTCGCTACACTCATAAGGTCTTTCTCTAGTGTGAACTCTCCGATGCTGAGTAAGCATATAGCTTTGGCTAAAAGATTTCCCACATTCACTACACTCATAAGGCCTTTCTCCAGTGTGAACTCTCTGGTGTTTTAAGAGATTGGAGCTGTAAAGAAAGAATTTCCCACATTCACTGCACTCATAAGGTCTTTCTCTAGTGTGAACTCTCCGATGCTGAGTAAGCGCAGAGCTTTGGCTAAAAGATTTCCCACATTCACTACACTCATAAGGCCTTTCTCCAGTGTGAACTCTTTGGTGTTTTAAGAGATTGGAACTGTAAGTAAAGAATTTCCCACATTCACTGCACTCATAAGGCCTTTCTCCAGTATGAGCTCTCCGATGCTCAAGAAGCGCAGAGCTTTGGCTAAAAGATTTGCCACATTCACTGCACTTATAAGGCCTTTCCCCACTATGAATTCTACGGTGTTCAATGAGGCTAGAGTTTAGAGTAAAAGATTTTCCACATTCACTGCACCCATAGGGCCTTGATCCAGAGTGAACTCTCTGGTGTTTTATGAGACTAGAGTGGTAGGTAAAGAATTTCCCACATTCACTACATTCATAAGGCTTTTCTCCAGTGTGAACAATGCGGTGTTGAAGGAGGTTAGACTTGTAGGTAAACAACTTTCCACATAAGTCACACTCATGAGGCCTTGCTCCAGTGTGAACTCTACGGTGCCGACTGAGGCTAGAGATGTGCCTAAAGGACTTCCCACATTCCCCACATTCATAAGGCTTTTCCCCAGTGTGAACTCTCCAATGGTCATTGAGGCTATAGCTTTTACTAAAAGATTTCCCACATTCACTGCACATATAGCCTCTGTCTCTAGTGAGAACTCTCTGATGCTGAACGAGCTTGTATTTGCAATTTAAGTCTTTCGTGCAGTTTCCAGAGTCCAACAGAGTTTTTCCCCTGTGAGAGGCTGCCCCACACTCAGTTTTCCTCTTTGACTTCTCCCTGGTGTGCGTGGCCTGATGCTGGAGAAATCTTGAGCTGGCCAGGAAGTCCCTCACAACCTCCCCACAGGACAGGGACTTCCCTGATGCACACAATTTGCAGTCCTTCACAAACGAGGCTGTGCCCGTGTTGCTTCTGAAGCACTTCTCTCCCGTGTGCTGCTTCTGATGCTGAAGTTCTGCACTGGAATCCAATTGTTTCTCACATGCCCCAATCTCGTACAGCTTCTGCCAATGACATGTTCCCTGGTGCTCAGTCAAGTGCAAAATATATCTCAAGTCCACACCACACAGCTCACAAGGATGGGCCTTCGAGGGAGACACACCTGCCTTGGAAGTCCTGACCTGTAACACTCCTTGTAAAGAATCGCAGAGCTCAGAAGGTGCCTCCTCATTCTGGGATCCATGACAACAACCTGAAAACAAGAAATGCTGGTGAAGTGCACATTGCCTGTGGTGGGAGGGGGCAAACCACACACGTGTGTGTCAGACACACCCAGGAACAAGTCCCTGGCATTGTGCGCAGGACCAGGGAGGTGGTTCAGGTTGAGGATGGGGCTGCTTAGCAGTACTGTGCTAATAAAGAGCACAGAATGGGAGAGGCCTCACAGGTGAAGGTCACTACCATGCAGTGACACAGAGAGGAGAGCCAGGGTGTACAATTCACTTCTCTACTAAAAACTTTCCAAAAGAACTTCTCTCCTGGTGACACACGAACGCTGTGTGGAAGGGTGTGATAAGACCCAAGAAAATACAACGAAAGTAGGGCAGCTGGTGTTCAAGGACTTTTAGGGATATGCACATCCCTCAGGACCCTATGCATAGGGGTCAATGAGGAGAGCACTACTGATGGAGTGGTCAGAAAAAAGGGTTAGACACCATGCAGAGATGTGAGGTTAACCCCAGGCTGGAAGTGAGAACAGAAGTAACAAGTGATAGAGTTGACAAATCCGCAAACTGTCAAGAAAGGGGAAGGACACACAGCAATGAAGTGCAGCCACTGGCATGAGCATCAAAGTATTAGTTCCACAGAATAGGTGTTTGGAATGATCTGAATTCACACCCTCCTCCGGGTGCCACTCCTCAAGGCCAGGCTCCCTCTGAGCCACTTTGCTGAGCCTGGGTTCATGCATGTCTTGTGGACCATAGGTTTCCAACGCAACCCAACTCCTTCAATAAGCAAATGCATGGCACCTTATACAAGTACTAAAAAAAAGACGGCACAGAGGAGTAGCCAACACTAACCCAGAACAACTCAGCACATGATAGTCAACAGAAAAGGAAACAAAATACTACATGGAGAACTTTGAAAGAGGGTCTTGGAGAACACCTTGTGGTTCATTTAAGGAATATCCACATCAGTAATGGCATTTCCTGGCACCTGAGGTAATGTCAGCTAGAGGAAGGAAGAACCTGGGCACACAGGTGCCTTGGATCTGAACACAGTCACTTGGTCAAGGAGAAGGCAAGTAATGTGGTATCCAATAGGTCACTAGAAGATGCCTGACCCTGGTTGGGGCTGCTCAAGGAAGCTCGAGGGCAGTGCACAAACCTCAACCCAACCAACCACAACACCTACCCAGGGAACTGGGGATCAAAGTAGTGCCCATGGTCCTGGTGTGAGGATAGACCTGCTACTGGGGAAAAGGGAAGGGCAGGAACCACTTTCTCAAGGCACAGGGATGAGTTTGAAAACCTTACCCAAGGAGGTTATAACTGCCAAGTTCTCCAGCATCACATCGTGGTATAGACGTCTCATAGCCTCATCAAGGAGCTCCCATTCCTCCAAGGAGAAGTACACGGCCACATCCTCAAAGGTCACCCTGCCCTGGCATGATGGGGACAGATGAAACTACAAACAAGGTCCTCTACTGAGAACCCACAATCCCTCCCCCTTCAATCTACTCTATGCCCGTCCTCCTCCCAATCTCCCAACTCAAAGGAAAAACCAGGCCTGGTGCCATTGGTGTTGTTGTCTGCTCCTGGGCTCACTGATCACAGATAGGAGTCCAGTCATCAGCAAGAGAAGAGGTGCATAAGCAGATATTCAAGTTGTGGACCTGGCATAGAGGGTTCCACCCACTCTATGTCGAAGGCTATTCCACTGGAGGTAAAGGTCACATAAGTCTAGATTAACAGGGCCCTCTGGTCATCAGACATACTACTTCTCAAGTACATACAATTCTTTAAATTAGATATTACAGTTACATGCCTGTAGTCACCACCACCACAATGTTCTACACCAAGGCATCTCCCTGGCTCCCCATATGTCACTTCTATGTTAATCACCTCCTCTTCACCACATTGATGAGGGCAGGATTTCCATTTTAAAATTATGGTCATGGCCAAACACACAACACCTGATCCTGCACAGAGGAGACAGATAGCAGTTCATTAATCACATATATGCACAGCCTAGGAGAGGAGGACACCACATACCACACAAGTTTGGGTTGTACTATGAAAAAGAGTGATCAAGCAGTAGCCGTAGGATCGAGAGGATAGGTGCCTCCTGGTTCATGTGAAAGGATGTAATTGCCTTGTCTGAATAACTGCAGGCTGAGTAGGGAACAGAAACCCATATAGAAGGATAAACAGAAACTGCACCTAGTCCCGTTGATGAGAAGGCTGTTTGATAAGGACACCTTATCAGGGCAGAAGAGTGAGAAGGACAACTTACACTCAGGTCATTAGAGTCCTTCCAGGTACCACCACACATAAAGGCAACACATAATACTGGACCTTAATTTCAGGCCTTACACCATAACTGGGCAACAGCATCCAAAATTACTCTAAACCTACCATGGTCTCAAATAGCAGTTACAGTCCAAAATCCTCTTCAGCTTGTACTGCATTTGATAAGTCCTCGGCAGTCACACCCTCTCATTCAAAGAAAAGTCTCACTGGTGGCCCACCAGAAGCCTAATGACTCTCATAGGTGACCACATCTGCAGGTCACAGATCACCTTATTCTCCAAGCTGAATAAAACACCCCAGACCTCACCAAAGTCCTCATAAAACCGTGGTAGAGTTCAGAGTGGTGAATAATCACCAGCTCAGGCCTGAATGTCATCTTGCCTTAATTACTCCTAAGCTGCTGCATCCACCTATGTCTACTTTTCACTGGAAACCGTGGCCACCTGGCATACTCTATTCCTGACACCTTCTCCTTTCATAACCACTGACCTCCTTCAACTGTGTATTGTTTTTTTTTTTTTGTGGTACATGCTCCTAGTGGGATCCGAACCCGGAACTCTCTGGTCCACAGTCCGACGCTCAACCGCTGAGCCAAACCGGCCAGGACTCTTTTTAAAATTCTTTATTGATTTTAGAGAGGGAGAAAGAGAGAAACTTCAATTGGCTGCCTCCTACATGCCCCTCACTGGGGATAGGGCCCACAACCTGGGCATGTGCCCTGACCAGGAATTGAACCAGTAACCTCTTGGTGCATGGGTCAATGCTCAACCATTGAGCTCCACCTGCTGGTTTGTCTTTTTAAAAATTATACACTGCCCTGGCCGGTTCTGCTCAGTGCTTAGAGCATCGGACCGCACACCAGAGAGTCCTGGGTTCAGTTCCCACTAAGGGCACGTACCTCGGTTGCAGTTTGTCCCTGAGGTCCTGTGGGTGGCAACCATTTGATGTGTCTCTCTCATGTCGATGTTTCTCTCTCTCATTCATTTTTCTCTCTCATCCTCTCCTTGCTTCTCTCTCAAATTAATAAAAACCATATCTTTGAGTCATGGGTTTGATTCTGGCCAAGGGCACTACCTCAGTTGCAGTTCATCCCCGGCCCTGGTCGGGGTCGTGCATGAGGCAACCAGTTGATGTGTCCCTCTCTCGTCCATGTTTCTCTCTCTGTCCCCCTCCCTCTATCTGAAGATAAATGGAAAAAAGTCCTCCAGTGAGGATTATAAAAAATAAAAAAGCATATCCTCAGGTGAAGAAGAAAACAAAACAAAACAAAGAAAAAAAACACATCCAGAATGCAATCACATCCCCAAATCCACAACTCTAGTTAGTTAACCCTCAGCTGAATTACGGCAGTAGCCCAGGCCCCCTATCTTCCTTCTTCCCCCTTCAACCCCAGTCTATGATGATACTACAGCCAGAACCACCTTGGTGAAATCACCCCCTCCTCTGTTCCAAACCCCGTTAGCGTCAGGGTGGACACCCAACTTCTCAGGCAGCCATTCTAATCCTTCCTGCTGCCCCCTTGCTCTTTGTCACAAGAGATCTGTACCTTCCTGAACACTATCAGCTCCGTTTTACATCAGGAATGTGCACAGCCTACTACCAGTTCCAGGAATAACCTTCCACGCAGGTTTCTAATGGTTGACAAAAATGTAAACACCTTCATAGGACCCTCACGTGGGCTGAGGACCCTGGGCTTGGGGTTCCTCCAGGCTCTCCAAACCCGAAACCGGAGGACTAGCACTGAACAGTCTGAAGAAACACGTTCCGGAGAACATGTGGGTGCGGCAGGGCCCGAGAGGGGCTGGGACACCCTCCCCTCCCTGCGCTTCCATCTCCGCTCCAGCAGCCCGGACGTGGAGGGGCCGGCTTGGGAGAACCGAGCTCACGGTGGGTTCCCTGGGCTGAGGCGCCCTGCACACGGGGGCTCTGTGCAGGGCTCGAGCCGGCTGCCGAACCCCGGTGCCTCAGCGCTCTTCGTCTTCTGCCGGGTGCCCCTCGGCCCGTCCCCCTCCCCCACCCGCGTCATCCGTGTGTCACCCACGAGCGCCGCACGGTCCGCACGCCGGGCCCGGGCTGCAGGACGTGCCAGGCGCCCGCACCCGGGAGACGCGCCCTCACCTCAGCCGGGCGCCTTAGCGCGGCCGCCGCCATCGGTCTCTTCGGCCGGAGCGGGCGAGTTAGGGCCCCGGACACGGCGGTCCCTGTCCCGGGTTCCCCGGGCGGCGGCACAGAGCCCGCGGCCGAAACCCAACTCTCCAGCCTTCTGGGCCCCGCACCTCAACTCTGACTCAGGGCCCCACTATTGGAAGAATAAACCAAGGGCAACTTCCACAGCGGGCACCCGGAAGTCCCCGGCTCTCAGACGCAGACATGCGCAGAAGCGCGTCTTTCCTAAATTTCCATTGGATAACAATGCTGCCACTCAACTCCGGGCCTGATGGAAATGTAGTCCCAACAGAACCAGTAACCACGAGGCCTAAGGCGCTTATTGCTCGACAGGCCAGGCTCAGTTGGGAGGAGCGTTGGAAAATGGCACCTGCAGGGGGCTGCTCCTCCTCTCCAAACGGATTGCCAATTTATTTCCGCCAAGTGCTGTCTGCAGCTGATCATGTAAAGTTGTGGAGACGCACTACTTCAGGCTCTAAAGCTGAGCATGCTCCGGGAGACTAAAAGTATTACTTTTGATACTCTGAAAGGCTACAAATCCAAATAAACGTATTGTACCGTCATTAAGACACAAAATATGTCCCTCAGCAGAAACTAATAAACATGGTCTTATTTCAAGTCCAGTGCATGCATTTCACATCATAACCTGTTTGTCAGTCTATGTATATTTGGTCAAGGACAAGAGAGAAAACACAGCAGATTGTGCCATGTCAAGGAAGACACACAGGAAGGATGCTGGGCCACCCTGAATCAGGACAACGATAGACCTGACAGAGTTTCTCCTTGTCTCAAGTTCCGTCAGTTTCTTCTCAGTTCTTTTGGACTAGGACACAGAGGGGCCAGACCTAATCTAGCCCAGATTAGGGAGTGGATGGTCTTGTTTCCCCAGAGGGGAGAGGGAATGTTCTTAGGGATTGGCAGCTATTGTCAGTCATTGATTTGCATTTTACCTACTATGGTGGGGAGTGGTCAGGGCTAAAGTCACCTGCTGGAAGGGTGGGGAGAAAGAGCCTGAGTTACCTCAATCCTTTAGAATGTCTTTCATTTCATGATAGTGAGTGATTAGTGGGTGACAGCTGAATACTAAGGCACTGCTTGGAGGTAGCACCCTGCAGTCATATTGGGAAGAAATCCAACTGGGTTTAGAAAATCATTGCATGTGGCAATGAGCGCCAGTGATGTATGGGGTGACACTGATGACCCTGTTTGCCTTGCCAGGGCAATGGTGCCACCATCCAAGAGAACTGGAGGAAAGGAGTTTGCATAAAATATGCAGCACGAGTAGGGGGAAGCCAAGAGTCCTCCAGGTGATGTTGGGGTATGGGGTGTTATTACTAGATAATGCCATCTCATAGGAGAGGAATTTAGGGGTCTGGCCAGAGTCAGATGTTTCCCTTAGGGAGAGGAGAGGATACAAGGGAGCATGGTGAGCTGTCCTAAAGCATGGACACTAAATCTTTCCCAACAGACACTTGCCAAATGGGCACCCTGTCTGAGCTACAGATCCCTCCATTGAGAAAGTGAAATAAGCTTGACCGGTGTGGCTCAGTAGATTGAGCATCGTCCCATGGACTGAGAAGGTGAAATAATAAATAATTCCCCTGCTGGATTATTTTTGGGCTGTTAAATAAGATAATCCTCATGAGAGCTTAACAGGACATATGCTACTCTTTGTAATGGCTATTTTAAAAATCTACCTAAAGTCCTGGCCAGTTTGGCTCAGCAGTTAGAGCCTTGACCCATGGACCGAAGGGTCTCAGGTTTGATTTCCAGCCAGGGGCACATACCTGGGTTGCAGGTTTGATCCCTGGGGGTCATGCAGGAAGCAACCAGTCAATGTGTCTCTCACATCAATGTCTCTATCCTCTCCCTCCCTTCCACTCTATCCAAAAAAATCAATGGAAAAACATCCTTAGGTGAGGATTAACAAGAAATAAAACAAAACACACACACACACACATTTTATATATATATATAAATGGAAGACTATTAAATCATTATTTTTTATCATTTTATACTATTCTTGTTTCATCTATCCCCATTACTTATAATCCCAGACACCATGTCATTTCACACATAATCCCTTCAGAATGTCTCTAAAACAATGTCTTTTAAATAATTCTATTAACTTTGGAACATAAAATCAACATATTTAAAATTATGATAAAGTGTTATAAGTGATAGATTTTGTCAGTTGTATGCACTATTCGATGCAGATTGATATTTGAATACAAAATTTATCCTCAGATAATTATAAGGTGTATCTTGGAAGTCTTGTAACGAATATGTACCATTTTACCTTTTTTGTTGTTAATCCTCACCCAAGGATACTTTTCTATTAATTTTTAGATAGAGGGAAAGGGCAGGAGGGAGAAACACTGATGTGAGAGACACACTGATTGGCTGTCTCCCACATGACCCCCAGGAATCAAACCCACATTTTCCCATTGATTCTAGATAGAATAAAAGGGAAGGGGAAAGAGAGAGAGAAACATCGATTGGTTGCCTCCTGCATGAACTCTGACCAGACCCGGTGATTGAAACTGCAACCAGGTATGTGCCCTGGATTGGGAATCAAACACACAACCCTCTGGTGCACAGGCCGACACTCTAACCTTTGAGTGACACCAGCAAGGGCCCATTATCCCTTTTTAATTCTTATGCCCCTAATGAAGACACTAAACCATTTGTCCATTAAAATTTGCCACACTCTAGATCTTGCTTGCTGATTTAATACTATTTAACAAGCTCACCATTTCCCCATATTTCTTGTACACTAGCTATGCTCAACACCATGAAATACCAGGGAAATGCAAAACCAGAACAAGAGACTGCTACACATTTAATGAAATGGTTAAAAATTTAAGACTAACCATATATACTATTACCAAGGACATGAGAGAACTGGAACCCACATACCCTGCCGGTAGAAATACAAAAGTAACAATCATTTTACATGACAACCTAGTGTTTCTTAAAGTTGTACATTCACCTACACTCTGACTCAGGTATTACATTTCCAGGTATAAACACAAGAAAGAAAGCATATCAATATGAACTATGGCCAATTTTTGCAATGGCCAAAATTGCAATTAAAATACCCACAAGCAGATGAATAGCGGTGCACTGATATGACATGCTTCTGAACAATATAAAAACAATGAACCAACCTGGCCAGTTTGGCTCAGCGGTTAGAGGATTGGCTCGTGGAGCAAAGGGTCGTGGGTTTGATTCCCAGTCAAAAGTATGTACCTGGGTTGTGGGTTCCATTCTGGCTCAAGCCAAGGTCATGCAAGAGGCAAATGATAGATGTGTCGCTCTCCTTCTCCCTTCCTTACAATGTCTCTAAAACTCCATAAAAAAATATCGAATCAGGGTTAAAAAAAAAAATAGTAAAATAAAACAATGAACTCAGATAAGCACCATTAATGAATCTCAAAATAAATATGTCACATGAGGGTACCCAAGGAAAAGTTAAAACACTTTGATTTCAATCATATAAAATTCTAGAAAATGCAAACCAATCAATTATAATGAAAAGCAAATCTATGGCTGCCTGGAGAACACAGTGATTATTAAAGGGCACAAGGTAATAAATAGGGGGGGTGATGGAAAAGGTTTCATTATGTTTGATGGTTTCATGGGTTTACGTGAATGTCAAAACCTACCAAATTGTACAGTTTAAATGTGGACAGATTATTGCATGTCATTTATACCTTATTAAAACTTAAAAAAAAAAGAAATAAAGATAAAACTTTAAAAATAGGTTCAAATTAAGTCTGGATGTCTTATCCTCCAGAAAATCAGATTTGGCAACTCTATGGACTCCACATTCTCTCTCCTCATGAGAGGGACACTTGCCTCAGTGGCAGCAGTAATAGGTAAATTATGCACTGGCTGGTGTAGCTCAGTAGGTTGGAGCACTGTCCTATATACCAAAAGGTTGTGGGTTTGATTCTCAATCAGGGCACATACCCCGGCTGCAAGTTCAATCAATGGTTGGGGGCACATGCAGGTGGCATCTGATCGACGTTTCTCTCTCACAAGTATGTTTCTCTCTCAATCACTTCCTCTCTCTGATATCTATGTGTGTGTGTGTGTGTATAAATAAAAAGTGAACAGTGAAGACTGTTTCCACTTAATTTACAGGAACAATGACTGGGTTACAAAGGCCATATCTCTGGACAGAGATCTTTCTCTTGTGTTCCTGCACAGCAATGGTCTTCGTTGAATAGGCCAGGGTGGGCAGGAGTATCAGAAATCCACAAAACCGCCCTGCTGGTTTGGTCAGCGGTTGGAGCGTCAGCCTGCGGTACACAGAGACCCGGGTTCGGTTCCCGCTAAGGGCATGTACCTTGGTTGCAGTTTGTCCCCGGCCCTGGTTGGTCGTGCGGGTGGCAGCCACTTGATGTGTCCCTTCACATCGATGTTTCTCTCTCTCTCTCTCTCTCTCGTCCTCTCTCTCCCTCCCGCTCTATCTGAACAAAAAAAAAAAAAAAAGGAAAAATGTCCTCGGGTGAGGATATAAAAAAAAAAAAGAAATCCACAAAACCTTCAGATTATTTTCTGACAGGACTCTCAGCTACAGAAGAATTTCTGTACCTGCTCATCTTTTACAGCCATAGGTACTAAACGTTGTGGACCTTTTAGAACAGATGCACTCTAATGAATAAATGAAATAAATCAATAAATAAAAGAGCATGCTAACCAGTTGGTAGTGATCTCCTCCACACTCTATGAACCCAGTGCTTGTATAACAATGATCCTTCTGACCCCTGTAATGTTTGTTTTTTTCTTTATCATAACCCGAGAACTTTTTGTTTTTTGTTTAGATAGAGTGGGAGAGAGAGAGAGAGAGAGAGAAACATCGACGTGAAAGGGACACATCGAGTAGTTGCCACCCGCATGACCTAACCAGGGCCGGGGACAAACCGCAACTGCAGTACGTGCCCTTAGCAGGAACCGAACCCAGGTCTCTCTGGACTGTAGGCCGATGCTCTAACCCCTGAGCCAAACTGACCAGGGCTGACCCCTGTAATCTTAAAACCAGTGATGTTACCCTACAGAATTCAGAACATCGGGGCCCATGGCTCCACTATAGGACCTGTGGGGACAGACATTCACTCACCAGTGCTGAGCATAAAACAGTCCCTATGAACAAGAGAGGTTCATGTTGCTCTCAGAAGCAGTGAAGGTTGTCACAAGGATCCCCTCTTCAGGTTGAATTCTGAACCTACAAAAGTCCAAAAGTCATGGCATTCAAGCTACAAAAAGAGGATGACAAAGCTTTGCAGTCTGTCCTTAAAAGCTTTGAGCGCTGGCCAGTTTGGCTCAGCCGTTAGAGCATCGACCTGCAGTTCAGAGACCCGGGTTTGGTTCCCACTAAGGGCATGTACCTCGGCTGCAGTTTGCCCCGGCCCTGGTTGGGTCATGTGGGTGGCAATCACTCGATGTGTCCCTTTCACGTAGATGTTTCTCTCTCTCTCTCTCTCCCTCCCACTCTAGCTGAAGAAAAAACAAACAAAAAATGTACTCAGGTGAGGATAAAAAAAAAAAAGCTTTGAGCAAGGCAAACTAGGCCAAAATTGAAGAGGTATGTTCTGCCATCATACTATACCCTCTGAGGCATACAAAGTTTGGGATCCCACCAAAGCTGTTCATGCTAGCAAACCTAGTTAATTTCAAAGCACCCCAAACAGTGACAACAAGCCTGAAGATTAATGGTGCCTTGAACAATAGGCCTTTATTATAGAAACGAGAGCAATGATAGGCACAGTTCCCGGGTTGGTGACTTGGAGGCTGGAAAATGCCATCACAGGAATCATGTGAGACCAACAATATCCCTGAAAAATGTAGTCCATCTTTTCAAATGCCCAACAGAGTCCTCTAGGCCAAAACTGGGCAAGGTCCATGCCCTAAGTCATCAGAGAGGAAAAAAGAATGGGAAAGAGTAAGTGCTCAGGCTACTCACAAATCACCCATAAATGAGAGAACATTGGAGTTTACTTCGCTGGACATTCTGAAAGGGATAAATGTTGCACACCGTGGGCTCCAGCCAGGAGGTAGAGACGAAATGGCTTCTGCTACAGAAGTGCCAGAGACATAAATCTGGCCATGGCCCTGGACAGGTTAAAAAGTGCAAGTTCCTGGAATTTATGTGGAGCACTGAACAGAGAACTAGTATATACCTGCAGAGTTAAGGCAGATCTCCCATCTGAAATCAGTGGTATCCAATAAGTAAATCCTTCAGCAAAAGGCCTTCTCACATTCACTGCATTTAAAAGGCCTTTCTCTACTGTATTCTCTGGATGTAACAGAGCTAGATTTGGGTAAATTACTTCCCACATTTGAAACACTCTTAAGGCCTTCATGCAATATGACTTGGTGTTTTAAAAGCCTGGAGTTAAAGGTAAATAAGTTCCCACTTTTCAATATTCACAAGGCCATTATCCAGTGTGAATTCTTCGGTGTTTAATGAGGCTCGAGTTATGGCTAAAGATTTTCCCACATCACTACACGCATAAGTCTTTCTCGCGTTGAATCTAATGGTTTGTAAGAAGAGCTTTTAGTAAAAGATAACACACCCTACATGCTAAGGCCTTGATCCAGTGTGAACGCTCTGGTGTTTTAAGAGACTCAAGCTGTAGTAAAGAATTTCCCACATTCCCTGCACTCAAGGCCTTTCTCCCACAGGTGAAATCTCCGATGCGGAAGAGTGCAGAGCTTTGGCTAAAATTTTCCACATCACTGCACTTTAAGGCCTTTCCCCTATGAACTCTGCGGTGTCATGAGTGGAGTCTGAGTAAAAGATTTTCCACATTCAGTGCACCCTAGGCACCAATAGGGCCTTGATCCAGAGTGAACTCTCTGGTGTTTTATGAGACTGGAGTGGTACGTAAAGAATTTCCCACATTCACTACATTCATAAGGCCTTTCTCCAGTGTGAACACTGCGGTGCTGAAGGAGTGCAGAGCTTTCACTAAAGGACTTCCCACATTCACTACACTCATATGGTCTTTCTCCAGTGTGAATTCTTCGATGTTTAATGAGATTAGACTTATTGCTAAATAATTTTCCACATAAGTCACATTCATGAGGCCTTGCTCCAGTGTGAACTCTACGGTGTTGAATAAGGCTAGAGCTTTGCCTAAATGACTTCCCACATTCCCCACACTCATAAGGCTTTTCCCCAGTGTGAACTCTCCAATGGTCATTGAGGCTCTAATCTTTTGCTGTAATAATTTCTCCAATTCACTACACATGTAGCCTCTTTCTCTAGTGAGAACTCTCTGGTGCTGAACGAGCGTGCGTTTGCAATTCAAGTCTTTCATGTAGCTTCCAGAGTCGAACAGAGTTTTTCCCTTGTGAGAGGCTGCCCCACACTCATTTCCTTCCCCCCTCTTTGGACCCATTCTCCCTGGTGTGGGCGTGGCCATGCTGGGAGAAATCTTGAGCTGGCCAGGAAGTCCCTCACAAACTCCCCACAGACAGTGACTTCCCTGATCACACACTTTGCAGTCCTTCACAAACGAGGCTGTGCCCGGTTGCCTCTGAAGCCACTTCTCTCCCTTGTGCTGCTTCTGATGCTGAAGTTCTGCACTGGAATCCATTGTTTCTCACATGCCCCATCTCGTACAGCTTCTGTCCAATGACATTTTCCCTGGTGCTCAGTCAATTGCAAAATATATCTCAAGTCCCACCACGCAGCTCACAAGGATTTGGCCTTCGAGGGAGACCAAACACCTGCCTTGGAAGTCCTTACCTTGTAACACTCCTTGTAAGAATCGCAGAGCTCAGAAGGTTCCTCCTCATTCGGTGATCCATGACAACACCTGAAAACAATAAAGCTGGTGAAGTTGCACACTGCCTGTGGTGGGAGGGGCAAACCACACACTTGTTCAACACACCCAGACAAGTCCATGGCATTGTGCGCAGGACAGGGATGTGGTTCAGGTTGAGGAGGGGCTAGCTTAGCAGTACTGTGCTAATACAGCACAGAATGGGAGAAGCCTCCGGTGACGGTTACTAACCTCCGTGACACAACGGAGAGCCAGGTATATCAATTCACTTCTCTACTAAAAACTTTCCAAAAGAACTTCTCTCCCGTGACACTAACCGTGTGGAGTGTGATAAGACCCAGAAAATCCACGAAGTAGGGCTCTGGTGTTCAAGACTTTGAGGGATATGCACTCCCTCAGGGACCTATGCATAAGGGGTCATATGAGAGCACTACTGATGGAGTGGTCAGACAAAAGGTTTTAGACCACCATGCAAGATGTTAGTTTACCCGGCTGGCAGTGAGACAGATTGACAAGTATGAGTTGACAATCCGACCAACTGTCAAGAAAGGGGAGGAACACAGCAATGAGTGCAGCCACGCAGGAGCATCCAAATGTATTAGTTCCACAGAATAGGTTTTTGAATGATCTTGATATTGTACTGACTTCCACCCTCCTCCGCCGTGCCATTCCTCAAGGCCCGGTCCCTCGAGCCATTTTTGCTGAGCTGGGTTTCATGCTTCTTGTGGACCATAGGTTTCCAACGCAACCCAACTCCCTCAATGAGCAAATGCATGGCACCTTATACAAGTACTAGCCAGCACTAGTCCAGAACAACTCAGCACATTATAGCCAACAGAAAACTAAATACTACACAGATTAACTTTAAAAGAGGGTCTTGTAAGAATACTCCGTGATTCACATAAGGAGTAAGCTTTTCAGTGATAGTATTTCCTGGCGCCGGCTGACTTGAGGAAATGTCAGCTAGAAGAAGGAAGTAGTACCTGGGTACACAGGTGCCTTGGATCTGGACAAAGTCACTTGGTCAAGAAGATAAGCAAGATGTTATCCATCAGGTTCACTGGAACACTCCTGACCCTGACTCCTTCCCTGCACAACTGCAGGGCAGGAGGTATTGGGGCTGCTCAAGGAAGGAGAGGGCAGTGCACAAACCTCAACCCAACCAACCACAACACCTACCCAGGGAACTGGGGAACAAAGCAGTGCCCATGGTCCTGGTGTGAGGATAGATCTGCTCCTGGGGAAAAGGGAAGGGCAGAGACTACTCACTCACGACACAGGGATGAGTTTGAAACCTTACCCAAGGAGGTTATAACTGCCAAGTTCTCCAGCATCACATCGTGGTATAGACGTCTCATAGCCCATCAAGGAGCTCCCTTCCCTCCAGATAAGTAACGGCCACATCCTCAAAGGTCACCCTGCCCTGCATGATGGGGACGATGAAACTCCAAACAAGTCCTCTACTGAGAACCCCACATCCCTCCCTCTTCATCTACTCTATGCCCAGCCCTCCTCCTCCCATCTCCCAACTCCAAGGAAAACCAGCCTGGTGCCCGCTGTTCTGTTCCTGCTCCTGGGCTCACTGATCACAGATAGGGGTCCAGCCATCAGCAAGAGAAGTAGGTGCATAAGCAGATATTCTTTTTTTTTTTTTTTTTTTAATCCTCATCTGAGGACATTTTTCCATTTTTTGTACAGACAGAGTAGGAGGGAGAGAGAGGAAGAGAGAGAGAGGGAAACATCAATGTGAAAGGGACACATCGAGTGGCTGCCACCCGCACGACCAACCAGGGCCGGGGACAAACTGCAACCGAGGTACGTGCCCTTAGCAGGAACCGAACCCGGGTCTCTCTGGACCGCAGGCGGACGCTCTAACCACTGAGCCAAACCGGCCAGGGCGCATAAGCAGATATTCAAGTTGTGGACCTGGCATAGAGGGCTCCACCCACTCATGCCAGGGTATTCCACTGGTATCACAGGTCATATAAGTGTCAATACCAGGGTACTGGAATCATCAGGCATACTAACTCTATAACTGCATATAATTCTTGAGACTGGATCCCACAGGCACACACCTATTGTCACCATCACCTTACTGTTCCACAGCAAAGGCATCTCCCAGGCCTCCCCACATGGTACTTGTATTCTTTTTTTTTGTTTTAGTCCTCACCTGAGGATATTTTTCCATTGACATTTTTTAGACAGAGTGGGAGGGAGGGAAGGGGTGAAAGAGGAAGGGAGGGAGGGAGGGGGGGGGGGGAGGGAGAGGGGGAGACACATCAACTGGTTGCCTGCTATACGACCCCAACAGGGGCCAGGGACTGATTTGGGCACCAAGGTATGTGTCCTTGACAGGGAATCCAACCCAAGCTTTTTTGGTCCTCGGCCTGATGCTCTAACCACTGTGACAAATCGGTCAGAGCGGCACTTGTATTTTAATCACCTCCTCTTCTCCCCAGTAATGAGGGTGGGATTCCTATCATAGAGTTATGGGAATGGCCAAACCCATGACACCTGACTCTGTACAGAGGAGATGGATAGCAGTTTCATAATCACATATATGCACAGCCTGGAAGAGAAGGACACCACAGACCACACTCCAATGGCGCTTGCAGCCCCAAATTTTTTGAAGGCCTCCCTACCTGGCTCCATTACTTGCTTTGGACTCACCCACACAGAAGCACATGTGGATCTCAGAAACCCATGGTCCTCTTCAACTTGTGCTGCATCTATAAGTCCTCAACAGTCAAAACCTCTCATTCAAAGACAAGCCTCACTGGTGGCCCACCGGAGGCCTAGTGACTCTCACAGGTGACCACAGCTGCAGGTCACATATCACCTTATTCTCCAAGCTGACTGAAACACCCCAGGCTCCACCAAAGTCCTCATAAAATCCTGGTAGAGTTCATAGTGGTGAATAAGTACCAGCTCAGGCCTGAGTGTCATCTTGCCTTAATTACTCCTAAGCTGCTGCATCCATCTCATGTGTACTCTTCCACAAGCAACCTTGGCCACTTGCCAGACTATTATGTTCCTGATATACTCTCCTTCCATGACCACTTTCCTCCCTCATCTGTGTTTCAATACCATCACCCCACCCCGCCCCGCCCCGCCCCAGCCGGGTAGCTAGGTTGGTTAGTGTTGTCCTGATCTGCCAAGTTTGTGGGTTTGATCCTGGTCAGGGCCCTTACAAGAATCAACCAATAAATACATAAATAAGTGGAATAGGTGGAACAAATCAATGTTTCTTTTTCTCCCCCTTCCTCTCTAACTCTGAAAATATTAAGTAAAAGTTTTATAAAACATACCATCAACCAGGTATCCAAGCAAGAGAGGCAGTCCTGCGCCAGTAACCTCCCCTATTCCTGGCAAACTAATAGCTCTGCCACCATAATCAGAATAATGTTCTTCCCGAAAAGTGTGCCAAACTCATTCATCTTGGCACACACAGTAGATGACATTTTGGATGTCTCTGTCCTCAACCCTTCGCCAGATTTCCAGACCTGCGTGTTTAGCTGCTCACTTAATGCCCACATAATGCTCCCCCCAAAACCTCTGTAGATCATGATACCTCCCCTAAATATTACTCTTACTACCAAATTCCTCATCTAAGTCGATGGATCAGCCATTCCTACAGCAGCTAAGAGAAACTCTAGGGTTACCCAATTCCTGTTTCACCTCGTCAAGGTCCACATTAGAAAACACAGTTGTCTTTTTATTTTATTTTTTTTAAGTATCATGATAATTTTTTTCTATGTCACCATTAAATGTCTAAATTTTAAACAGATTCTTGGGACTGGGGCTCATATTCATCAGCTCATTCAACTTTAGAACATGTCCCATCCTCAGAATTGCTCCCTTCACCTTGAAGCTCCAGGAGTTTTCCCAATTCAAGCTTGGGCTTCTTTAGCATTTTCACTTTTCTAACAGACATCATGGAGCAGCTAAACACAGCTGTGTTTTTAAAAAATACACATTTAGGGAGCGGGGAGGAGGGGATCAATGGGGAAAAAGGGGGGGAGGACAACAATGAAGATTTAGAAATAAGAGTAATAATAAATAAATAAAAACACACATCTAGCCCTGCCTGGAGCGACTCAGGTGGTTGGAGCGTCATCCTATATACCAAAAGGTGGAGGGTTTGCTTCCCATTCCTGACATATACCAGGTTTTCGGGTTTGATCGGTCAGGGTACCTACAGGAGGCAACCCATGGATGTTTCTCTCTCACATCAACGTTTCTCTTTCACCCTCCTCCTTCCTCGCTTTGAAATAAAAAAAAAAAAAAGGCATATCTTCAGGTGAAAAAGAAATAATAATAAACATACACATCCAGAAGGCAATCACATCTCCTAAGACATGACTCTGGTAAATTAACCCTGTGCTTGGGGTTCCTCCAGGCTCTCCAAACCCGAAACCGGAGGACTGGCACTGAACAGTCTGAAGAAACACGTTCCGGAGAACATGTGGGTGCGGCAGGGCCCGAGAGGGGCTGGGACACCCTCCCCTCCCGGCGCTTCCATCTCCGCTCCAGCAGCCCGGACGCGGAGGGGCCGGCTTGGGAGAACCGAGCTCACGGCGGGTTCCATGGGCCCAGGCCTGCCTCGCCCTGCACACGGGGGCTCGAGCCGGCTGCTGAACTCGGTGCCTCAGCGCTCTTCGTCTTCTGCCGGGTGCCCCTCGGCCCGTCCCCCTCTCCCACCCGCGTCATCCGTGTGTCACCCACGAGCGCCTCACGGTCCGCACGCCGGGCCCGGGCTGCAGGGCTCGGGGCGGGGAGGCCCGGGGGACGCGCTCTCACCTTAGCCCGGCGCCTCAGCGCGGCCGCCGCCATCGGAGCGGGCGAGGAAGGGCCCCGGGCACGGCGGTTCCTTTCCCGGCCGTGGCGCGGGTCTCCCGGGCGGCGGCGCAGAGCCTCACACCCGGGTCTGTGCGGCGGGGACCCGACTCTCGGACCGTGTGGACCCCGCACCTCAATTCTGACTCAGGGCTCCAGTGTTCGGAAGAACAAAACCAAGAGCGACTTTCATGGCGGCCAGGAGAAGCCCGGAAGTCCCACCCTCTCAGACGGATGCACGCACGAAAGCGCCTCTCTTCTAAGTTCCCATTGGACAGCGACGCTGCTGCTGGGTTCCGAGCCTTCTGGGTAATGTAGTCCCCACAGAGCCACGAACCGCGGGGCCTAGGGGGCTTATTGATGAAAAGACCGGGTTCAGCTGGGAGGAGCGTTGGGAAAAGGCACCTTGCAGGTCTTCTCTTCCTCTCCAAAGGGATCGCCAACTTATTTCTGTGAAAGTGCTGTCTGCAGCTGAGCATGTAAAGTTCTACAACTTTACATTATTTCAAACTGTGACGCATTATTTCAAACTGTGAAGCTGAGCATGCTCCTGGAGGCTAAAAATATGATTGCTGATACTCTCAAAGGTTACAAATCCACATAAAGGTATTGCGCATTCAGACACAAAACATGTCCACCGTCAGCAGAAGGTAATAAACATGATCTTATTTCAAGTCAAATGTAGGCACTCAATATCATTACGTAAGTTTGTCAGTCGGTGTATGTTTGGTTAAGGGCAAGGAAGAACATACTCCAGATTGGGCCATGTGAAGGAAGATAGAGGAAGGATATGCTGGTGCAGGACGAAGATGGTTCTGACAGTTTCTCCTTGACTAAAGTTCAGTCAGTGTCCTCTAAGCTCTTTTTGACTACAGTTGGCCTTGGCCTCCAGAGCAACATTCCTTCATTGGTTTGGCAAGAATTTCTCATCCTCGGTATCTGATCATTGCTGATGTGTAGTCAAATTCCATCACTTCTCATTATTCCACATGTGATATCTAATAACACTGACCTGCCTTCAGCAAGAATCTTTTAGGTCAGTGTAGGAAGGATTTCCTTACTCTGTGATTTTTCATCCACTGAGCCCCACCTTGCTCCTTGGGTATAAATTCCAGCTTTCATTTTAAAATTTGTAGTTGAATCCCATCTCTCTCCCTCACTATAAAACACCACTGTCCCTACATCTAGGGATTCTGAATAAAGCCTGCCTTACAGTTTTAACAGGGTTTTATGTTTTTCTTTACCAGATCTATCTGTGGTTCTCAAAGGAAATAATCTTTCCAGCCTGTCCAATTCAGTGTGCAACACTTTTACCTATTTAATATCTTGAATCTTTAAAAGACACAGCAGAGCTCTGGCCAGTTTGGCTCAGCGGTTAGAGCTTCAGCCCATGGACCAGAGAGTCCTGGGTTTGGTAGCGGGAACTGTACATCGGATGCGGTTTGTCCCTGGCCCCAGTTGGGGTCATGTGGGTGGCGACCAGTCGATGTGTCTCTCGCATTGATGTTTCTCTCTTACCCCATCTCTCCCTACCGCTCTA